GGGGGGCGGCAGGGTCTTGATGTGCCTCATGACAAGCCTCTCGAAGCACTTCATGATGATGGGTGTGAGTGCAACGGGACGGTAGTCAATGAGGCAGGACACTGAAGACTTCTTTGGCAGGGGGACGATGGTGGTGGCCTTGAAGCACGTTGGAATGACAGTGCTGCTCAGGGAGGTGTTCAAGATCATCCGCCAGCTGGTCTGCACATCCTCTGAGCGCTCTGCAAGGAATGTTGTCTGGTCCAGCAGTGAACTACTACCTGCAACAGCCAGGTAAGAGACGAAATGCACAACTAAACCACATTAATTTACTAAAAAAGTGGATTGAGCCTGCCCCCGCCTCGTCAGCTTTTGTTGATTTCCCCTCAGAACCACCAGGGCATACCTTGGTCCAAAAGGGGGAAGACCTGACCCCCTCACAGCTGCAAGAACTAGCTGAGTCGGTGGACCAGTTCTCGATGGAGCAAAGGCTGGCACACTGGGTGCAACATGAAATCAAGACCCCTACCGGGTCCCAGAAGCCTACCGCCAGGCTATTGAGGAGGAATTCAGCAAGATGCTATGAGATGGCATCATAGAAGAATCTGCCAGCCCCTAATCCAGCCCCATCGTGGTGGTCCCGAAACCTGACAGAAGTCTCAGGCTCTGTAACAACTTCCAAAGACTGAACCAGGTATCGGAGTTCAATAGCTACCCCCTTCCCCAGGTTTATGACCTGGTGGAGTGCCTGGGGAGAGCCCACTTCATCTCAAACCTAGACCTCACAAAAGGGTACTGGCAGGTAGCCCTGGCCACGGGACGCCAAACCCAAGATGGCATTCAGGATCTCCAGTGGCCACTGGCAATATCGGGTTCGTCCTTCATCCTACATCCACACAAGTAGTTTGCAGCATCCTACTTGGCCGATGTGGTGATCCACTCAAACACAGGCCACCTGCACCACCTCAGGGAAGTCCTGAGTGAGCTCCAAAAGGCCAGGTTAACAGCAAACCCATGGAAGTGTCATCTGGGGCTGACCGAGGCACAGTATCTGGGTTACCACATTGGCCAGGGCCCGCTGAAACCACAAGAGAATAAAATTGAAGCGGTCAAAGAATACCCACGACCCACCTCCAAGTGACAGGTATATGCCTTCTTGGGGTTGGCAGGATATTACAGAAGGTTTGTCCCTAACTTCTCTTCTCTAGCCTCCCCCCTCTCAGATCTAACAAGGAAGGGACAACTAGACTGGATACGATGGTCAGCAGAGCAGGCATTCCAGACTCTGAAGCAGGTGCTCACAAGCTTGCCGGTGCTTAGGAATCCCAATTTTGATTGGCCCTTCACCCTACACACCAATGCTTCAGAGACAGGGCTGGGCAATTTGCTCTCCCAGACCTTTGATGGGGAAGAACACCTGGTTCTATACATGAATAGAAACTGACCCCCACAGAACCCAGCTGTGGAACGAGAAGCCCTGGCCATAAAATGGGCCATCAGAGGAACTGCATTACTACCTCTCTGGCAGACACTTTACCCTGGTCACAGGCCACGCTCCCATGCAATGGATGGCAAAAGCCAAAGACACCAATGCACATATAACCCGGTGGTTTCTTTCATTTCAGGACTTCCTGTTCCAGGTGCAACATTGAACAGGGTCCACCACGGCAATGCTGACGGACTGTCACAGAGTTACGGACTTTGAGTGAAAATACCACCGGCAGTACGCTCAGAGCTGAGTACTGTGAGGTGGTACTGTGACGGCAGGCCTCCAGACCATGCACACAAACCACTGCATGCTCCTCACATGACTGCCACCCAGGTGCTGAAAGGACAGTGCCACTTCACTGTTGTGGACTGAGAGTGAGCACATGGCCATGGGGCGAGGAGGAGGAATAGAGCACGGCTGATGGCTGATCATGACTGAGGCTCGTCACCCTCACAGAGAAGACAGGAGAGGATAAAAAGGTTCGGTGGCCTCAGTGGGGTGAGCAGGTTCTGTCTCCCAGACTATGCTGATCTGGGCTTTTCTCTATGTTGCAGATAGCGATAACAGCTACACTGACCCCTTGTGACACGCTGAGAGACCTCATCCCAGCACCCACGGGAAAGCACCAGAACTCTCACCACCGCCAACCCTGCTGCCGGTCTGCGCCACTACACCTGGCCCATGGCACACACTGCCACACACCTCCTTAGCTTGCCCAACACAGCCCATGGCCCCTGGAAACAGCACCTCACACACCTTTTACAATCCCATCCTCCAGCTTTTCCCTCACTTTAAGAAATAAACACCCTCTTTTTGCAGTCCAGTCTCTGCCTGTCTGTGTTCTGCCTGCCTCTGCTGCAAGTCGCTACATTATCAATGGCCTAATAAAGTTAGAAATAAATCAACTTACATAATGAGTTGTTAAGGATGTATTTACAATGACAAATATCAGTTTATTAAATGCAATGCATATGCTTAATCAAGTGCAAAATTAATGATTCACATAACATTAATATGAAAATGGCCCACTATATAAATGCACAAATAAAATCATGAGTAAGTGCAATTCAGCTACCCTAACAAATAAAACAAACACTGACCCAAATATTGAATTACAATTTGTACACTCAATATGTACTCATTTTGTACATTCAAAATGTACTCAATTTGTACACTCAACTATCATATGCAAGAACATAACAATGAGATTTAACAAGAACAGAGCTGGAATCATAGCCTGTGCAAATCAATGGGAAACCTGAGGGTATAATTTCAATTTGACAAGTGTCTCAAAATGAGGATGGCACAATTGGATACGTCTGTTGTTTCATCTAGCTGGAGTACATAATAGTGACTTGCCTTAATGTGTGTTACCGTCTGCTGTTTTATGTCCTTAGACATATCTTGTACTCTATGGTGTCACTGGAGAACAGGATTTTTCAACTGATTTGCGGCAGATTTGTGCACAGGATCTCTCTGGTCACGTGGACTGCAGAGGGTAAAACAAGATCCTCTTTAACTGTGTGGGCCTTTTTGCATTTTGCAATGTGATGAGTGAGTTTGTACAATGCACGATGTGTTTGCTCCTGAACAGTGCACACGTTTTTGATCATTTTTTGGATGTGTCCAGATCCTGTTGCTTTCTTTTGAAAAACTGAACATGCTTGTCTTTATGGCTCAAGTGTTTTGTCTCTAAATACCTTTTGAATTTGAATGGTTTCATGCTTTCTGCAGACATTAACTCACCACACAAAGCACACTGTTGTCTGCACAAACCATGATTGTCTTTTGTGCAAGTAAAGTCACATTTTATGTAATCCAGCTCTTATTTTCACTGACCTTGCATTGTTTTTTTCAGCCTTTTATAGGAACAGGAGGGAATTTCACTCTGTTTTTCAATGTTAGCACCAATTGTTTGCAGATGAATTAGCACCAAAATTGAAAGAATTTGATTGGATGCACAACAAGACATGAACAAATTTTTTTATTGGCTATAACAACAGCTACGGGGAGTGTTTGTTATTTATTTATTTACTTACTTACTTACTTACTTACTTTCATTTTTTGAAACTATAAATTGCTTTATTGTCATATGGATTTTCATTTTGTTATGTCTTATCATATCTTTTTATGTCTTATTTAGCAACATGTTTTTCTTCCCAGCAGTCCCAACCCAATCATAAAGGGCCAGCAACCCACCAGTTGAGAAACATTGATGTAATTTATTATTTATGAATTTTTTAAGTTGTTTATCTGAAATATGCCCAAAGATTGTTGTAAAAGAAAACTTTATCTATGATCAAAATGTCTTTTAAACATTTTAGCATATTACTTATATATTTTTAAATGTAATATCAGTGGGAGATAAATGGCACCCCGATCATGGAATCATCCTCCTGCGTGGAAGTGGCAGAGTTCTGGCAAACTGGTGTACAGCAGAAATACAGTATCTATTTCACAGAATAAAATAATGCAAGTGGAACAATAGGTTCAGCAGTGCAGCTAAGGACACTGTGCTTCAGTAGCTTTAGCTAACTCAACACTAAACTCCCTGGGCAGCCATTTAAAATAGGAACATCGTCAGACCTCGATACTTCTCTTTTTCATAAAAAGCCTCTTCACCAAATTTGGACACAGCATGTGACCTGGAACTTAAACTTAATAAAATTGCCCAATTTGTAGTGACTGTGGAAAGAAAATAGTGGGTGCAGTTGCTGAAGTCAATGAACATGAGCACAGGCAATTTATCTAGGTGCTCAGGAAGCCTCTATTTGAATAAACCCCTACAGGCTTCCCACAGACAACACTGATGCTGATGGCTGGGAACAGTTTATTTTATAAGTAAGAGGAAATTGCTACAGGACCTGGTTCTATTTTTCCACAGGCATGTTCTGTAATATTGAGATAAGGTTGGACCAAGAGCAGAATTAAGACTTCAGGTTCCTCTGAGCATTCCTTGGGCAACAGTGCCCTATATATCTGATGGTACCTTACCATTACCAGCACCTTTCTCTTGTTCCTAAGCAGAAACCCATGATAACCACCTACTATCAGCTTCCTAGAATAGCTTCATCTGAAAGCCTTCAAGCTCGGCTCTCCATGGGGTACTTGTATTTAAATATGTTTTTCGAAATATTTCAGTGATGCAGTGTCAATTGCCCTTGGAAATACAATAAGCAATATTGGATATGGCAACTAAAGGAAATAAATGAATCCCAATAGATAGCTAGCAAATGGAGACTAGTAACGGGAATTCCGTCTCTTTTCAGTGAGACAGATCATTTGCTCAGCTCACTGATATGAGCCAACTCTTTTGGCTCTAATACACTCCAATGGCTCACTGCCATTTTTCTTCTAAACTTGTCAATGTTTGCCATATCATGACCAGTTGTTCTTATTGGCCTAACCATGACTCATATTGTTTCATGAAATCTTACCTCACCTTCTAATTATGAAAATATTGCACTTTTAAAAACATATTAAAATAATTGTCAAATCAGCAAGGTACTGTACTACAGATGTGAACTGACAGTCCCTGGTGGTTTAGCGGCTAAGGATCCCTCACTCTCACCCCTGTGGCCTGGGTTTGATTCCCAGCCAGGGAACCATCCCAACCACTGGGAGTGTACCCTCAGTACATCCCGGATAAAATGGGAGGCTTACATCTGGAAGGGCATCCAGAGTAAAACCTGTGCCAAATCAAACATGTGGGCCAATGATCTGCTGTGGCAACACCTAACAGAAGCAGCCAAAAGAACAAAAATTAAAGATGTGAATTGATTAATACGGTAATCATAATATGTTTATGTGCCTGCTGTGTCTGTGCATCATTAATAAGATTAATTTCAATTTATCTTGATAATTGGTCATAGTGTAGAAGGATGTGGAAGCACAGAAGGATGTGGAGGTTAAAGGACTAGTGCACACACACACATCCACAAACAAAAAAACTGTCCATTATCCTGTTCTCTCCTCACTTACTCTATCCACCAAGGAATTAAAAACATTGTCATTGTTTTAAAACCATGGCTCTTGTGGATGATTTCAGTCCCTCTTGGTTTGTTTGATATGCAGCACGCTTCAGGTTCAAGGCTGCTGGAAGTTTCAAGAGTAGGGTGCAGACTGTTCTCTATGATGTGTACTCCATGTGGGCCTCTAGCTGTAGGCATCAACTTTCAATTCCATCAGTGGCTCCAAAATGTCCCTGACTGAAGGATGCATCAAAATAAATACACTTATGAACAGATGCTGCATTAACCATGGAAAGCACCATTAGAGCTTAATGGAAAATCAAGAGGAAAATTGTAATGTAAACAGAAGAACCATGAGGAATTGCTGAAGTTCTGTTGTAATATCCAAATATCCAAAGCAATTCTCAAATTGATCAGAAGGTGTTAATTAATTTTCTATAACAGCAGCTCAGATATTTTGCCAGTTGTGATTTAAATCATATGTTTATAATAGTGTACTCATTCTAATAAGTTATTGTTTCTATATCTATATGTATGGTAGACACTATTTATTATATAAGCCTAATAATAAATACTTTTTTAAGTGTTGTTATTTAACAAATAAAAACTAATCTTTGATATGCTGAAGCTTGGAGACATTTATGCAACATTTATGAAAGGAATTTCCAGTGTCAGTGCTTTGTAGTAAAGCAGAAGTAAAGCTGTTTCTTTAAGTTTTCCACTACATGAAACTCTTCAGGACAGAAGAGTTTGCATTTTGAAGTTTCTCAGTAACATGACTACAGTAGCTGAGGTTTTTCTTATTAGTATCAAGAGAAAGAAAAAAAAGAAGCTGGTGAAAGAACAACTATTTATAGCTGTTATAATGAAAGTGATATCAGGGAAATATTTTCCTTATTATTATTTCCTTATTTATAACAGCGTCTCTCCACTGTGTTTTTTTAATTCCTGCTTAAGAGTTGGATAATCACACTCTGAAATATTTTTTTCAGAATAAACTGCATTTAATCTATTATTTGAATCTGGTGCTGTTAATAAGACCGATATCTATATTGAACATAACCTGTGATAAGAGATCTGTTGAATGCATATTAGTTGCATTGTTCTACAAGGCATCAGGACCATAAATCTAATCATAGATCACACAGACACACTTCAGTGATGCACAGGCACTGATGGGTTTATGTTACCTAGCTACATAGATGAGATGACATTAATAACCTGGGCATCAGGAGCAGTCTTACTGAGAGTGCCACTTGTTTTTTTTCTTTTGCAAATGTAAAATATCACACCATCTCCAACCACACATCCCCCTCCCCTGAACTCCCACTTGTCTTTCACCTGTCTCCTATCTCTCAGAAACACAACACCATTCTCAGACTAGCCTGATATTAGGATCCCTTTAAAGCTCAGAGAACAGGGTTTCTATTACCACTTCATGCATAGACGCAACAAACTAATCTCCAAATCTCCAAGCACACTTCACAGAGGCTGGTGTCACACTTTAATGTAGAGATATACAGAACTGAATATATATACTACAGCATACATGTCCACATTCATGTGTTTAATTTACACCCTATACACTGATGTATGCTCTGTGTAGTAGAAGATCTCTCTCTAACCAATATGTTGACAGCTCTTTATTTCCACATTTCAGCCTAATCACTGCTAATGAGCCGGTATTGTTCAGGATGTCAACTGGGGGTCTTAAGACTGAAAGTAGAAGAGAGATATTTGATGCTGGAGAGTGAGTTATTATCTACAATGAGTGTAAAATGTACTGATAGAGAAAGCAGCAAGACTTGGGGTCAGTGATAAAAAGTACTTAAATTGTTTCTGTAATTTGCAATTATTTTGTTCTCTTTGTATGAACTTCTAATTAGGCTGTTCTTCCAGAAAAAAATGTTACTATACTAGACCAATTCTTTTTGCTGTGGTGGTACCCTTAAGCATACCTTTCGTACCTTTTTACCTAAAACAGTGCATATAGTGCACATTTAAAGCTTTACAGTAAAAGGTAATTATGTCCTCAGAAAGATGGCATATTTAATCTCATTCAGGTTGTAGTTTGATTCATGCAGCTTACACTGGAGCAGAGAGATAACAGCAAGTTCAAAGATCAACGGGAAAGTGTGGTGCATCAACATATTAAATTCATAATATGTATGAGCAAGCCTCCATCATATGAACTAGTGCTCAAATGCACAACAAACACTCAAAGTCTAATTAAACCTATTTATCTATACTGGATGCTGTCCATCTATATTCTGGAGAAAAAGCACCATCTGAATCTTGTGTTCTATTTAGCAAATGAAGGTCAAGATCATATAGAGGCTTTTGGGTATGGACAAGTATACTGTTTTAGTGTACGCAAATCAGACCTAATTATTAAATTGCTTGTAATTTGGAAGGCAGCATGGAAGCAATTGTTTTTGTGCCAAGCTGGCACACACAGCATTATCAACTATCGTTATGTCCAAAATTACAGCATAAGAACTACATAGTGTCGTATTTTGGGAAATTTGCCATTTTGTAGGAACATACAAAAGCATAGTGGAGAGTATCCAGTGTGTTTATGAACTCCCACAATGTGCTGCTACTGGTTACTGTCCAAAGGAAGCACCATAGCATGTACAGAGTTTTGCATGTTCTCCACGAGTTGGTTTCCGTCATGTTCTCCAGTTTCTTCTAGCAAGCAGTCATTGATAAATAATATCTTCTTCAGGAATTTAGTATTTATTTAGTAATTTAGTAATTATTACAACACCATATAGAATAATATCCAAATATGACTTGGTGAAATTGTTCCAATTATGACTGGTCATTCTTGGTCATTTCACAAATCTGAAATTTTATACAGCAAGTACACTACACTGGTCAAAGCATAAACAAATTAGGATTAACACACAGAGCACATGTGATAAGTATTGGTATGTTGTGGAGCTGTACACAAATTAAACACTTCCAGCAAGCAGTTATTGATTACTTATCTTCACCAGGGTTGCCCATTCAACTATCCCTACCTCTCTGACTAATATGATACATGCCAGCTATTAACACATTTAACTGTACTAACTTTTCACTGCACTAAATATATTACCATGGAAAAAGAATATTATATTCCTCAGCCTCCCTCATGCTAGGTCAGATTCACTTTAAGCCCTTTATCATATGTATGTATATATGTATTCATGCATATTTCAATACACATACCCGCATACAATGGATTCAGTGCCCACCTTTGCAACCACCCTTGACTCACCGCATCCCCTATCCTTCCTGTATATACATCCATCATATTGACATATTGCATGTTTTTTTCCTAAACTCTGCCCCTTTTACCCATCAGCCACGCATATCGTTAACCCCTTAAAAAGTTCAAGTTTAGTATTTAATTATTAATGAATTTCTAAGTAGCTACAGCAGCACTAATAGGAATGTTGTGTAGATACAAGCACAAGGAATGTATGTCTGGACCTGCCAACAAGTTTTTAGAGTGTTTAATTCATTCAATGTCTTGTCATGTCCAACAGCCTCCAGTTTTCTTGTTATGACTTTGTTTGTCATTGTTTCTGCTGCTGCTGTTGTCATTAGAAGAATAAAAAGTCTTCACAGCTCAGACAATAAACAGACAGAGAACATGATGTAAATGATATTTACATGATGAAGCCTTATCGGACCAGGAATAAGTGAGTGAGATAGACAGAGCCATGCATTTATATGAGTTAGAGGAAGACAATGAGACCAAGATAGATGGACTAAATACATAGAAGAACAGAAGGTGAATTACTGGGATGAATGATTAGCTCAGATAGGTATAGATATAGATATAGTTGACATTCCAGTGTCAATCAGCCAATCCCCAGTTCCTGAGACAAGACAGGAAGATGTATAGAGAGAGACAGGCAGGTAAGAACAAGTCCTCTTTTATTCCAGAAGACAAACTGAATGTAAGACAGGCAAAAAAACAAGTAGACAGTCAGAGAGACAGGTAAGAGCATTCCCTCCCCTATAGACAAACTGAATGACAGATAGGTAGACTTGGCCAGACAGGTAAGAACAAGTACTCCCCTAGCCCGGAAGACAAACTGATACACAGACAGGTACAGAGTCAGACAGGCAAGTAAGAGCAAGTACTCTCCTAGTACTGAAGACAAACTGATTGAACCAGACAGAAAGACAGGCAGACAGCCAGCCTGACAGGTAAGAGCATGTCCTCCTCTAGTCCTGAAGACAGACTGAATGAAAAACTGAGGACAAACCAAATGACAGACAGGTAGAGTCAGACAGACAGGTAAATACAAGTCCTCCCCTAGCCTTGAAGACAAATTGAATGAATGACAGGCAGAAAGACAGGTAGACAGCCAGACAAGCAGGTGAGAGCATGTCCTTCTCTAGTCCTGAAGACTAACTGAAAGACAGAAAGACAGGTAGGCAGTCAGACAGACAGGTAAGAACAAGTCCTCACTTATTCCTGAAAACAGATTGAAACACTTTCAGCAAGACAGGTAGACAGACAGACAGACCGACAGACAGACAGGAAAGAGAATGTCCTCTCCTAGTCCTGAAGGCAAACTGAATGGAAAACAGGCAGGACAGGTAGACACTCACAGGCAGACAGGCAGCACTGT